TACCTGATGGTGCATTGTTCCTGCAGTGGTTTGTTGAAGTTTCGGTTTAGAAACTGAGGCATACGACTCGTTAGTGTTACTTAACGCCTGAGCAAAAGATACTCCTGGAATCGTAGCTGGTGGTATATACGGCAAGTTTTGTCGGATGACAGGGTTTCGAGCTGCGGTTTTTTGTTGGCTTATGCGACTTTTTAACTCTTTGTACACAGGGCAACCTCTATAGTTGGCAGTATGGTTTTCCCCACAAGTGCTACATTTCTTCGCAGATGGGTCCTCCTTATTTACGGGGCAGGGCTCAGAGGGGTGTACATCCCCGCAGGCAACGCAGACTGCACGTAGGGTACAATAGGTTTTTGTATGCCCATATTCCTGGCAGTTTGTGCATTGGACAGGTCCATTTCGCTTATGCGGTTCCTCAACTGTAATTCTACGGTGCAGTAGATATTGCAGCTTATAAATTTTGTGAACTTCGTTTTTACCTTTAGGCATGGAGTCAGGTGTCAATTCTACCTTGAACATTGGTTGGGGAATTTTATTTTTGTTTATTATGTTTATTATGCCATTTTGACTTCAAAGCCCTTATCTTTTAGTGCATCTTTTATCTCTTCGACTGGAACGGTTGGCTCTATTCCTTTGATGACCACTTGTAGTCCCTTGCTACTTTTAAGTTGGTACGTGTAGTAACTCATTTTTTCATCGTTGAGGTATTTGGCCACTGATCCATAGTTTTTTTCGTCGTTGACTTGTATTTTAATTTCATTGATGTTACCTCTTCTTATCGACGTAACATAGAATTTGTTTTCGCCAATTTTATTACTGAGTTTTTTAACCAAATCTGTACAATTTGATTGACGCACATAAATAGGTGGCGGCTTTAGTTTCTTGGCCTTTGGTGTTTCAACTCTATTTTCTTCGGCTTCGCTGAGAATCGCGAATCTATTGTTTTTCAGCGCTTCATTTGGCACCGTGTTTTCCGATGTTTTTGTTATTTTGGGTGCGTTGGTTTTTATACCCTGTACCCGTAGGGTAAAAAGGGTATATTAGGTTTGTGCAAAGTATGTAACATACAGAAGGAAGCATCTCCGACCCCATAAAGTATATATATTCTTGATCAGCATGACGAGAGAAATCGATCTAGACATGTCCGTCCGTCTGTCCGTCTGTCCGTCTGTCCGTCCGTCTGGATGAACGCGAGGATCTCAGAAACTATGAAAGCTAGAATAACCAAAGTTGGCATCCAGATTCTCCTAGGTCCGAGTAAGGACGAGTTTATTTTTTTTTTTTTAATTTTCCCCCCCTTCCCCCGCTACAGAATTTCGTCAATAGCGTCCACATTTCAAATGCTACCTAAACCAAACTTTGCACACATAATTTATATATAATTGTCTACTGTTGTTAAAAATTTTATTCAATTCGGTCAATTCTAAGAAAAGTTATTAGCGAAACAAATTCTCGCCAGTACAACCCCCACAAACTGCAGCAACAAGTTCGCTCTTCTTCTTCCTCTTTTTGTTGCTGCTATGGGCGCATATAACTCAGTGACGGAAGTTTACCTGGGTACAGGGTATTACACTGTCGGGCTTGCTCGACTGTAGCGTTCTCTCTTGTTTTTAGTTAATTGTGGGCTTAACCTTCTTTTAATTTGGACATAGCGATCGAGCCCGGTCTGTATTAGCGTTCTGCTTGCGCTCTTTGTACTTTTCGGTTTAGAGAGGGGCGCTGAGAGACTGTCGTTGTTGTTGTTGTAGTTGTCGTTGTTACAGTCGAAGACACAGTTGTAAGCGAAGGCAATGTACTGGTCGTTGTTGTTATCAGAAGCTCGTTGGTAAGGCTGCAGGGGTCTGGGGACGGGCACTGGGCACTCCATGGCTCACTTTGCAATGTGCTGACTGAGCATATTATAGCGGGCGAGAGAGAGCGTGCTCTCTCCGTGTCAACTTGCAGTGATGCAGTTGTTTCAGGTGCCGTTACCTCTGGTGAGCGTATGGTGAAGTATGCGTTGTTGGATAAGGATACCTTAGAGAAATATGTTATGAAAACAATAAACATATTGTTAATAACAATGAACATTTGCTCTCCGATGAGCAAAATGGGGTATATGTATAAAAAATATTAGAAAGCATTGAAGCTGAAAAAGGTGATATCTTTTTCTTGGATGCTGCTGGTGGTACAGGAAAAACATTTTTGCTAAACATACTGTTAGCGAAAGTGCGGCAAAATCAGAAAATACCCTTGGCTGTAGCTTCCTCTGGTATTTCAGCCACATTGCTCAACGGAGGTTGATTTACAAAATGTAGAAACACCACATTGCTCTATTTCAAAGCAATGCAATATGGCTAAGGTTCTTAATGACTGAAGTTTATTGTTTGGGATGGGTGCACTATGGCCCATAAAGGCGGCTTTGAAGCGTTAGATAGAACACTAAAGGATTTAAGAGATAATAACTCCTTAATGGGAGAAATTACTGTCCTTTTAGCTGGAGACTTTCGTCAAACGCTTCCAGTAGTGCCTCGAGGAACAAAAGCTGATGAAATAATAAAATAAAATAATAAAATAATAATAAGAAATAAAATCATGCTGAATATCATAATATAACAAGAGAGAACGCTACAGTCGAGCAAGCCCGACAGTGTAATACCCTGTACCCAGGTAAACTTCCATCACGGAGTTAAATGCGCAGAAAGCAGCACCAAAAAGAGGAAGAAGAAGAGCGAACTTGTTGCTGCAGTTTGGGGGGGGGGGGGGGGGTTGTACTGGCGAGAATTTGTTTCGCTAATAACTTTTCTTAGAATTGACCGAATTGAATAAACAACAGTAGATAATTATATATTACTTATGTGTGCAAAGTTTGCTTTAGGTAGCATTTGAAATTTGGACGCTATTGACGAAATTCTGTAGCGGGGGAAGGGGGGGAAATTAAAAAAAATAAATAAACTCGTCCTTTCTCGGACCTAGGACAATCTGGATGCCAACTTTGGTTATTCTAGCTTTTATAGTTTCTGAGATCCTCGCGTTCATCCAGACGGACGGACAGACGGACGGACAGACATGTCTAGATCGATTTCTTTCGTCATGCTGATTCAGAATATATATACTTTATGGGGTCGGAGATGCTTCCTTCTGCATGTTACATACTTTGCACAAACCTAATATACCCTTTTTACCCTACGGGTACAGGGTATAAAAATAAATAAATATGTTTTGTTTTCATTCTGTACCTCTTTATTTAAAATGCGTACATACACATGTTTGCGCATGATTGCAAACAACACATGCACGCACAAATACATAAATATGTACATACATGAATTTTTTATACGGTCATACTCGGGTAAAACCCGCGCAATACTCGAGACTATACTATACTCGTTCGATCAAACGCTCTTTCTGCAAAGTCTGGTTTACTTCGATCAGGACCTAGTCATCTTAAACGAAGTGACCGAACCTGAACTGTTTGATAGCAAACGAATCAAGACCGGTGCTTGTTCGTAAAAATAGAAAGATTGCTCATGCAAGTTCGATCATAAGAAAAATGCTCGTTTGCAGCCAAGCAAAGATCTGATTTGATTGAATTTTCAGCAAGGGTGGTCGAACATACTCGTTGCAGTTCTCTGAGCCATATGTACATACAAGGGCGTAGGCAGGGGGGGGGGGGGGCGGCGTTGCCCCCCTAGAAAAAATTTTGCCATATAAAGTCGATCACACGTTCATTATTATGACGCATTATTTCGCCTTAAAATGGATCTGAGTTAGATTTGTTGAAGTTTTTTCATTGATCATATGCATGTTATTTTTTAAATGCATCGTGCATTTTTTAATCAACATTGTAATTTTTTGGAGTCAATTCTTTCATAGTATCCATCATAGTGTAGGTGCGCACTAAGAACGACTTTTTTGAAAATTCGAAATGGGGGAAAGGAGTTTAAAAAATATTAGTTATAGTGGTCATGGGTGTGTACGTTTAACGAAATATTTTGGCAAGAACAAAAATGTAATGGTCTACTGGACAATTTTTTGTCAAGAACATTAAATGCTCACTTAAATACCATAAATGCCTTGCTACTGGTAACTAATAAGCTTAAAACATATGGGTAGGTCATGCACACAAACAAAAATACAATTTGAAACATTATATTGAGCCTGGTTAAGACGGGCAATACCTACTGGTAACCCATATCTCGCAGACTATGATACGCAACATTTTAGAAACAAATGCGTTTTGTGAATTCGCAGAAAATGTGTATTTTGGAATTTCACTCCCTCCCCCCTCTCCCTTTCGATTCTGGATTTTCCATAACTCCCGAAATTCTGAAAATCTCTCCAGTTAGTGATTATGAGTCCGTATGCCGTTCATAACGATAGGCTAATTTTACAGGAAGTTAAGACCATATACATATGTATAACATCTTTGTCAAGGAGCTAAAAGCGATCCAATTTTTGTATACCCTGTACCGAAAGGGTGAAAGGGTATAGTTTTGGACGAATGTATGTAACACACAGAAGGAGGCGTGGCTGACCCCAAAGACTGTATATATTATTGATCAGGGTGACAAGCCGAGTCGATATAGTCATGTACGTCTGACCATCTGTCTGTCCGTCCGTATGAACGCAAGGATCTCAGAAAGTATAAGAGCTGGAATAACCAAACTTGGTATCTAGATTCTCCTTATTAAATTAAAAAAAAAATTTATTTTAATTTTTTTTTTTTGTGGCTGTAACGACGATTGTAACGTTCTATCTTGTTATACTTTTCGATATCGCTGCGTTCATAAAGACAGACGGTTCGTCTTGTCATGCTGATCAAAAATAAATACATACATAGAAATTTTTTGTGGGGTCTGTCACGCCTCATTCTGTAAGTTACATACATACGCACTTAACTAGTATGCCCTTTTACCCTTGAGGTAATTTAAAGTTTTCTTTCGATTGCCTACACTTTTTTGCCCAAACAGTCAAGCAACGTTCGTCTTGTTCAGAGCTTTTTTTTTTACAGTTAAGCTTTGTCGGCGAAAAAAGTTGGGCGCTCTTCTCCGCAGCTGGCGTACATTTATTTTATTAAAGGCAGTAGTGATATTTGTTGACACTTTTGAAGTAGCACTTTATATATTCTGTTTCTGACCCATATAAGGCCATGTCGAGAATAGTTCCAGTCGCACAAAGATTTTTCCGCAAGTATCCCTTTATCACTAATAGTGTAGTTTATGGCAGCTTGTATGTAGGTGCAGAATACTCCCAGCAATACGTCTCAAAGCGCTGGAAACCAGTAAGTTAATGTAACTATTATGAAAAACATTTTCAACAAATTAAAGCACGTTTTGTTTAGCTATCAGAGGAGCCTGAGCCTATAGATTACGCAACTATAGGGCGCTATGCCGTGATGGGTACCACAATCTACGCCCCTTCGCTTTATGTTTGGTTTGTTAAGGCTTTATAACTAACTACCCATCTATGTCTTATTGTGCTTTTCTTTACAACCATTAGTTTCACTCATGCAATTTTTTCCATATAATAACGCACCGTGCATGTTAGCTCATATCTTTTCTTTATCAATTTGTTTAATTAAAATAAAGCATTCACTTGTAAGCTGCCCAAGCACTGTGTCTGCATCGAGTTTGAAGAGCATGTTAAATACGACGAAAGTAATCAAAGAGCGGGTATTATCTCTTCACAAGCATGTATATGGGAGCACAGAGCTTTAAATGTGAAAAGCTTTAAAAAGAACTTTAGCCCATATTGGAGCGCGTTGGCACCTATGTATCATACATGTGTAAATACAACCTGTAAGCTATGTAAGTGAATTAAGGGATGGTGTATAAAAGATGACACATGAACACGGTCTAATACATAGTACATACCTACAAACATACGAGTACATATGTATGTACATAAGTAGGTATTATACAACTTATAACACAAACATTTCATCATTGTGCACTCTTCCGCATATTATCTAAATTGTATACTATACATACATATGTCTTCAAATTTATTCTTAGGTACAAATGGCTAGATCGCACATATTTTGGAACGGATAAAAATATCATTATAAGGAAACTTCTGCTGGACCAATTTATTTTAACTCCTTACTTGCTAACTGCTTTTTATGTCGGTAAGGTTAATAAACATATGTATATGATATTTATGAACATACATATGTATGTATATATACCATCTTAATAATTATACTAGCAGATCTCGCCCATCTTTGGTGGGCTAAGCGTTTTTGCTAACAATTATATATTTATTTCAAGAAGGGTAGAACCTTTTTAACTACGAAATAGCAAATTACTTTGATAGTATAATAAATTTACATCAGAATCGTATCTCTGCGTGTATGTATGCAGCACAAAGTTGAACCAAATCAGCAACAACAAAAGCTACGGGCAGAGCATGGGCAGCGATTTTATTTATGGCTATAAAGTGAAGAATAGAAGCGGTTTTGGAAAATTCAAACTCCAAAGGGGGGAAAAATGGAACCAACGTTTGTATGATATATCTAAAATTTTCATTTTATTAACTTTAAACGTAGTTTGTATAAGAAAGAATACAAAAAAAAGCAAGGAATGCTAAAGTCGTGTAGGATCAACTATTAAATACCTGCACCACCCCACAAAAAAAAAAATTAATTAAATATTCCATACAGGTGCGTGTCTATGCGTGTTTGTGTACTTTTACATATGTATGTGTGCATTACATATATCAAACTAGCAACAAATACAGGTGCGGACAGAGCTTGGGCTTGGTTATATGATTATAACTTTCTTTCTAATCAACCTATCATAATAAAACTTTGGGTACGGATATATAATCACTAACTGGGTGTGACTACCAAATTAGTTTAAAATTCCAGAATAACGGGAGTTATAGAAAATCGCAAATAGCGGGGAAGTGAGGGGTGCATCGAGGAAAATGAACAAACTTGATCTTTCTCAGGCGTAGGACAATCTGGATACCAAGTTTGGCTATTCTACCATTTATACTTTCTGAGGTCCTTGCGCTCATACAGACAGACGGACAGTCAGACATACAGGCGGCCATGGCTATATCGACTCGTCTTGTTACCCTGATCAAGAATATATATATACTTTGTGGGGTCTGCCACGCCGTGTTTATATGCGTGTATCTATGCAGCACAAAGTTGAACCAAAGCAGCAACAACAACAACAGCTGCGGGCAGCGCTGCAGGCTTCGCATGGGCAGCGATTTTATTTATGGCTTTAACTTTCTTCAAAATTGACCTATCATGATGAAACTTAACATACGGACACATAATCACTAACTGAATGTGACTACCAAATTTGAGTTCGAAATTCCAAGAATTAAGGGAGTTATGAAAAAAAAAACACAAATTGTGGGGGAGTGAGGGAGTGTATCAGAAAAAAACAAGCTCGATCTGCCTAGGGCTTAGGGGAACCTGAGTTGCTGAGATCGTTGCGCACATGCCAAGAATTACGGGAGTTATAGAAAATCGTTAATAGGGGGGGAGTGGGGGGTGGATCAGAAAAAATGAACAAACTCGTCCTTTCTCGGGCTCAGGAGAATCTGTATACCAAGTTTGGTTATTCTAGCTCTTATACATTCTGAGATCCTTGCGTTCATACAGACAGACAGACGGACATGGCTATATCGACTCGGCTTGTCATGCTGATCAAGAATATATATACTTTGTGGGGTCTACCAAGCCTCCTTCCATGTGCACTCGCACAAAACTAATATACCCTTGTACTCTTTGGGTACAGGGTATAATAAAACGCTTTGATATTTACATCCGAAGGAATTTACCAAAATGTGTTAGAAATATGCGAACTTATCTGTGGGGCGATCACAAACTAAAATGGCAATATTTGAAGTTTGTCATGAGAACCAATCATTGTTTTCATCCAATTTCAAATTTCGAATATATGCCAAAAAATCACATTTGGTTTTTATAACCTATAAAAAATAACAAAAACAAGTAAAAAAGCTGAAGTCGTTTGTCCCGACTTTGAAATACTCTGTAGATATCTTTAGAATAATTATAGAAATTAAAAAAATAAGAAAATTAAAAAAAAATTTTGGATCGATTTTACCTCTCTCGGTTTTCTAACTCACCTAAAGGGTGTATAATTGGTCATATACAAAGTAATTGAGTCTATTTGAACGTATGTTTGTTTATGCGCGTCTATTCGAGCAGCAAATATATTTATGGCTATAACTTCTTGTTATATCGGTCTATCATAGTGAAACTTAGCATTCGGACACATAATGACTAACTGGGGGTATTTCCCAAATTTGAAATTCGAAATTCCAAGAATTGCGGAAGTGACGAAAAAGACTTAAAAAGACATATTGGACTAAAATATGGTATTTCTAGGTCTCCTAGTCTCCGAGATATAGGCGATTATACGAATGGAAAATGGGGAAAACCCCCATAGGCGGCAAGTGGGCGGGGGGGGGGGGGGGGGGGGAATCACAAAAATAAAACAAACTTGCACAGCGTACACACATAAGGCATTTTTGTGCAAAATTTGGTGTCTCTAGCTCTTATAGTCTCTGGCCTGTCACGCTGATCAAGAATATATGTATATACTTTGTGGGGTCTGCCACGCCTCCAAAAATAAGGCATCTTTGTGCAAAATTTGGTGTATCTAGCTCTTATAGTCTCTGAGATCAGGCACTCGAGACATACACAGACACACACAAATACACACATACACGCATAATTATTCTACACATATGTACCGAGTATTTCGAAGTCGGGATACATGACTTTATATATTCTTGATCAGCGTGACAAGTCGAGTTGGTATAGCCATGTCCGACTCAAATTTGGCAAATTCATTCATATAGTAATTATGTGTCTGTGTACCAAGTTTCAACATGATAGGTTAATTATGAAGAAAGTTATAGCCATATACATAATCTCTGCCCAATCTCTGCCCGCAGGGGTTACTGCTTTGACTTATATTTTTACTGCATACAAGCACGCATAGACGCGATTCTGATGTAAATCTATGCTGTTGAAATTGTACATAAACACTTATGTCTCTAGGCATGTGTTAAATATTTTATATTTAACTAGCAGGTATTGCCCGTCTTAACCCGGCTCAATATAATGTTTCCAATTGTATATATTTTGTGTGCATAACCTACCCATATGTTTTCACCTTATAAGTTACCAGTAGGAAGGCATTTAAGGTATTTAAATGAACATTTTCTGTTCTTGACAAAAAATGGTTCAGTACTCCGTTACATTTTTGTTCCAAACTATTTCGTTAAACGAACATGACCACTATAACTAATATTTTTTAAAGCTCGTTTTCCCCCCTTTGGAGCTAGGATTTTCCAAAAGCCTTTCTTAGTGTGCTCCTACACTATGATGGATACTATGAAAGGATACTTGAGTCCAAATTTCATCTTTTTCCGTTTGGGCTGTGCGTTGATCACCAATTAGTCAGGACAAACTGTTTTATATATAGAGATAACGCAACGTTTTAAGATAGACTATGTGCAAAAAAGGGGAATAATTATAAGGGTATATCCTAATTTTAAATTCACATTTGAGTCTTTTCGTGCCATATTGAGTCAATACGGTCACGCACAAACTCGGAATATGAAACACGGCACTCGTGTCAATGCCGTGCAGCGATGAGCCACGATCAAAAAGCACTGACAATTCTCATCTCAATTTGCTAGAGTAAAACTTTCGATAGTTGAAGCCACCGATACCATCAAAATATCGAAGTTTGAATGCAATAAGCAGAATATTTAAATAATAAAATCCTATTATTTATTGAGATCAATAAGAACAAATCATATACATACATACATCTGCCCGCAATGCGAAGCAGAATATGCGTAGCTCCGTTATTCGGTTTCTGCTTTACTATCGCTTACGCAGTCGTTGCCTAGCGACGGTAACTGTAAACTTTTGGCGTTTTGCCTTTGTAATTAAAATTGGTCAAAACGAAAGAAGAAGAGCGAGCCAATGACTTGCAGTTGTTGTTGTTTTTAGAGCATTATTTTTTTTACAATCAAACAACTGTGTTCGATTGCCCAATGTATACATTGATACGAATGTACATACATACTATATTCATACACAGGCATACATACATACATATGTATGTTTCTCTTTACTTTTTCAACCGTACGTAGAGAACCGCACACATAGACACGAACTGTTGCTTGTTGTGTGTGCGAGTGTGTGTATGTGATGTCTCCAACTATTTGATATTTGTTGTTGCTGCATAAAGTTATTAATGAAAACCCTCATGCCAAATGCACTAAACAAAGAAAAAATTACTTTTAAAAATGTTATATAATTTTCAATTAATTTACATTTCTTGCTCTGTCAGTGCAAGACGAATGTACATACATACATATGTAGATACATATGTACATACATAGATGTGCACATATGTATGGACATTCACACATTAGTGTCTCACATTTTGCTTTGGCTATTTCAATCGTTTGCACGCAACTACACGAACAGCTGCTTGCATGTGTGTGTGTGTGTGTGTGTGTGTGTGTATGTATACTTAGTTGTCCCCAACTGTTTGATATTTTGTATTGTTTGTTCTGCCTGCATTTGTAAAATTCATATTTTGAAAATCCTTGAATGCAAAGTTGTAGATTTAGTTACGTAGATTACATTATCCAAATTTTAAATCGATCGGATTAAATTTATAACACAAACTTTTCATTTGAAATAGTGAATAAATATTAAAACCCCAATAATTCAAGCTCCAACACAAATTTCGAAAATCTGAGTATGCAGTTTTCTTTGTATTCTTTAATTGATTTTATAAACCATCGATCGGTTGAAAAATGTGGATTTTTCAAACAAACTTTGGAGCTACTTTTCCCCCCTTTGGAGCTCGAATTTTCCAAAATCCCTTCTTAGTGCGCATCTACACCATGATAGAATACTTGAGTCCAAATTTCAGCATCCTAGCTTTTACCGTGTGGGCTATTGACGCGGTTTGCTTTTGTGCCCCAACATTTTTTTTACAGGAAAACTCCCATATTTTAGGCCCCAAAAAAAATATCAAAAAACCAAGTATACAGTTTTTCTTGGAATTGTTCTGAGAGTATACAAACTAAGTTTAAAGTTAATCAGATTTT